GCGCTCATAAAAATGCCTAGGCAAAGCTCGATGCGTTGTGAAAAGATGAGCTAGCAATAAGATATACACCATTACCGCTTGAAAGCTTTAAGTCCAGTTTATTTTCAAAGGGTGCTGAACGCAATACTGTAAATGTTGCGGTAAGAAAGAGCATTAACTACTATCCAAATACTTTGTTCACAACAAGTAAAAAGTCCAAATACTGCAGAATGAGCATACTGCTCGCGCGAGGAGCAGCGGTCTGGCTAAAAACTCTTGAGTGCGGTTCATGGTTATACGAACAGTTTCGGAACTTTTTGGAAGAGATCAAAAAGCCTACCGAACGATTCTCCCTTTTCCGCTTAGAACTCCAACCTTTCGAGTCAAAATTTTTTGTAAAGTTTATAGTAACAAAGTGTGAGATGTCTGCTACACCCTGAACACAGCGCAGCTCAAAAAGAGGAGCATTTCTCCTTTCGGGTGGCTCAAAATGCCTTTGAAGTCAGTGCGCTTCAAAAAGCCTATTTTCTTGTGGTTTAAGCACTCTAATTAGCTTCTACCAATGCTGTGAGATGACTTGAGTCTTCCTAGGTATCATGTGTGACGCTTGGGGAAATCTTGTGTACTCGTCGCTTTAATTTACCAAGCTCCTACCTTACCATAGAAATAGCATAATTTCGAGCCTCAAAACCCAGCTTCTGTCTCGCGCAAAGAAAGGGCATAAGGAAAGTACGTTACTTATATGTTGATGTATCGTGCTGAAGATTTGGATTTTTTGCAGGATTAATTTTGGACGTTGGAGCTAAAAGTTCAGGGAAAGTGTGATTGTCAAAGTAAGCACAGCCATTTTTGCATGACGTCTGTTGGCCAAAACAAGAGCTCAGCACTGCAGAACCTTCTGCAAACCAGAGGTGCGATAGGGGGAGCCAAGTCTCCCCCTACCTTCACTTTTGAGCTGGTACGGGGTGACCACCTTCACTTTTGGAATAAAAAATTTTTCGCTGGACGACAAAGAAGGAAAATAAGCAAAACAAACGCAAAAAAGATTATTGAAAGCATATATTTATGTATACGGCGGTATATATATTTAAAATAAAGGTTTTTAGTGAATGGTGTATTTGGAAGTAAAGCTTAGCAAAACTGTACGGATTTTATTAAGAAAATTATGTTATAACGTATAGCGAAGGAAGTAGGTCGATCCAGGCAGTAACGGCGGAGAACCAGAATTTTGAATATTTAAATAGTGAAAAATCATGCGAAATTTCCACTGTTATAAATCTGTTGTTTGAAGATGTCAGCAGTTGCGACTTCATAGGTTTTAAAGAGTAAATGTTGCTCTATCAGCTAGTGAAGGAATCTGGTCGATTTAAGAGATAGTCGTTGAAAACCAGAGTTCTAAAACTTTACGCCATTTTTGCGTGTTTTTTGACTGTTGAGAGTTAAACTCTTATAAATCTTGAATGTGGAAGTGTATGATGTTGCGACTTCATAGGTTATATAGAGTAAGGTTTGCCTTATCAAAATATGTCTTGTCCGTTCCGATCCATTGAAACACCTCCGAGATCCAGAGTCATGAAAAAGCAGGTAAAAAAGAGCTTTTTGAACTTCAACAGCTCATAACTTCTTCAGAACTGCATGAATCATGTTGCGACTTCATAGGTTAGATTCCTCTCATCAAGGGCTTTCAGATGATATATAATATGTGGGGGTTTAGAGCCTCCTGCGAATTATGACCGGGGGGGGGAGACTTTTTAGGCCAAAGTCTCCCCCTCGCCCATTTTAATGTAGGCTGGAGGCTGCCGGGGGAGACTTTGGCCTAAAAAGTCTCCCCCCCCGGGCATATGCCGTAAGAGGCGCGAAACCCCCACATATTATATATCATCTGAAAGCTCTTGACGAGAGGAATCTAACCTATGAAGTCGCAACATGATTCGTGCAATCCTGAAGAAGTTATGAGCTGTTGAATTTCAAAAAGCTCTTTTTTACCTGCTTTTTCATGACTCTGGATCTCGGAGGTGTTTCAATGGATCGGAACGGACAAGACATATTCTGATAAGGCAAACCTTACTCTATATAACCTATGAAGTCGCAACATCATACACTTCCACATTCAAGATTTATAAGAGTTTAACTCTCAACAGTCAAAAAACACGCAAAAATGGCGTAAGGTTTTAGAACTCTGGTTTTCAACGACTATCTCTTAAATCGACCAGATTCCTTCACTAGCTGATAGAGCAACATTTACTCTCTAAAACCTATGAAGTCGCAACTGCTGACATCTTCAAACAACAGATTTATAACAGTGGAAATTTTGCATGATTTTTCACTATTTATTTATTCGAAATTCTGATTCTCGGCCGTTACTGCCTGGATCGATCTACTTTCTTCGCTGTACGTTATAACAAAATTTGCTTAATAAAATCCGTACAGTCCAACAAACTTCTACTTCCAAATACACCATTTACTAAACACGTCTATTTTAAATTTTTATAAATAAAATTTATAGATATTTTTAATATTCATCGTATCTGTGGCCCTAAAGAGGGCCGTTGGGTCGACGTTAGGCCTAGAAAGATAGCTCCGTTCGTCCGTTCTATCCTCCCCCCGCACCCCCCCCCCCGTCGACGTTTTTGGGAGGTGAGTGTCCGACACTACCACCTTCACTTTTGGCCGGCCAGTGGTAGCTGAAACCACCTTCACTTTTGGGGGACCCGGCTCCCCCTATCGCACCTCTGCTGCAAACACAAATCTCACGACCTAGTATTTACTGTGCCAAGCTTATCATAGGACTACAGAAACTGAGTTTTGAGGCTTGAAATCGTAATTTCAAGATTTTGCGTTTGCAGAAAAGTTCTGCAAGGCTGAGCTCTTGTTTTGGCCGACAGACGTCATGTTGCAAAAATGGCTGTGCTTACTATGACAATCACACTTTTCATGAACTTTTAGCTCCAAAGCCCAACATTATTCCTGTACGAAATCCAAATCTTCAGCACGTTACAGCAACATAGAAGCAGCGTACTTATCTTATGACTTCTCTTTGCGCGAGACAGAAGCTGGGTTTTGACCCTCGAATTTGTGCTAATTCTAAGGTGAGGTAGGAACATGGTGAAATAACGACGACTCCACAGAATTTTCCCAAGCGTCAAACAAAACACCAATCGAAAGGCTCATCTCATAGCATTGATAGGAGCTAATTAGAGTGGTTAAATCACAGGAAATCAGGCTTTCTAAAACGCACTGACTCCAAAGTCAGTTTGAGCCTCCTGAGAGGAGTAACGCTCCTCTTTTTAAGCTGCGCTGGGTTCAGTGTGTAGCAGATATCACACATTTTGTTACAGTAACTTTAAAAAATTCTTACTCAATAGATGGAGCTCTGGGTAAAAAAGAATAATCGTTCAAAGGATTCGTATGATTATGAACCCCTAAAATATTGGCATTGGGTAAAAACAAACCTAGATGTCGATTTCCATTCTCGTAAAGTGTGTACCGTTTTCAGCTACATACGCTTTTTCACGTAGTGCCAACAGTTTTTTGAATCCCTTTCAAAAATTCCCAAATTCAAGATATGGGGTTCGGATAATTATAAGTTGCACTTTATTCAGCTAAGACTACGAAAATTTTTCTTAGCCATCAAAACTATGTTTCTCTTTTTCTGGTCAATGGCTTTATGTCAGCCATGTTTACAAGAATTCTCAAGGCCTCTTTAAAGGCAGTGGCTCGGCAAATCTCAACATAGTCAAATTTGCGCTTACCTGGAGTTATTCAATACGCTGATCCCGAAAATCCACTTTTGAAAGCTTGAAAACGGCGAAAATAAGTGGCAAATTAATGGCTCAAAAGACCCCCTTTTTGCTTTTTTTTGGGGGGGGGGGGAGGTGAGAGGTGAAAAATTGAGACCTTCTCTACCTATCTAGCAAAAAATCTTTTGTGTACATTACCCAATCGCTCTATTTGGCATTTGCTCTCTCGGTTAACTTCTAAAATCAGGATAGTTTGTGTTTGTAAGTAATTGTAATGAAGGGTACTCGGAAGACAATACAGATGAACTTTGACGGAACTATTGCATACAGGGAATCTGAGCTGGGCAGCTGCTCGTGCATGTTGCGCACTTGTCCAAACTTTAATAACAAATGAAAAAGCGGTGATAAGAGCATAAGGTCGTTTTTGGTTGTACTGCATTTTTCATAAAGAAAAAGAGCTAGAACCTAGTATCTATCCTTGAAGACTTCATAGTTGTCTATTCCACGGAAATTGAGTCCTAAAACATTGGGATTAATTTGGAATTTAATCTTCGCGAGTTAGTGCACATTTGGGCAACTTTCAATTTGTGCATGCACAAAGATCATAACCTTACAAGCTCTATGGGAGTTTCCGAATAAGGGAAGGATTCCGAACAAGGGAAGGATTCCGAACAAGAGTAGGATACCTGGAACCGTAACCATTCCAAATGAAACGCATACCACTAAACGCCGCGAACAAAGCTGCGTAGTGAGTGCTATAAAACTGTGAAGCAATTTTCTCCACTGATATCTGAGACAATTTAGTTTCCAAAACTCTAGACTGTAAAAAAAATTTCTTGAATTGAACGGCTTGGCATGCCGCAAACCACAATTCGAGAAAAATGTCGGCCGTTCCTCTTGAAAATAATGCGAAGTTTCACGTTATCTACTTGCGACTCAACGTTCTCTTTTAGTGGATGGCATTAGCAACAGACACATATTAGCAACAGACTAAACCCCCTATCGGGGTCGTGCTTCTATAGGACTCTAAAATATCCACGAAATCAAACAAAAAGTACCTATGATGTTTTTATGGATGATTTTGTGCGCTTTACAGGAGAGAGTTCCAATATAACAAGAAAAGTGAAATTACGAAACAGACATTGCAATCATCAGAAGTACAAATCATGATAATCATCCAAAAGGTATTGACCAAATTGTACAAGATTGGATGCAATGCATAAAAAAGTGACTGTGGAAGAAGCAAACGAATTCAAAATGATATGTGGCCGCTGAAGTCCTTCATGTTTGCTTCTCCTTTCTATTTCGGTACAACAAAGGCAGCTTTGCAACAAGCATTTTCAATATTTTGAATAATATATACAGTAGCAAAGCAGCAATGCCACCGAAAAGCGCAATAACATCCAAGGAATGATACTGAAAAAAGTTCAGGTTATTTCCAGCTGGAACAAGATTCTCGAGCGTTTTGAATTCAGCCGTAAATTCAGCCCAAGAAACCAGCAATTTGGATGGACTCAACGGTTTCTTTTCGACCATGTGCGATATCCGCTTGATTCTGCTCAAGTAACTGTAATGATGGGTTCTATCAACTGTTGATGTCAAGGAGCACAGACTCGAACCTTTCATCTTCGAGAATCTTCTGCAGTGCTTCCGCTATTTTATCAGCAGTGACGTCACTTTTACGAAGATTTATGGAAAATTGTTGTCGTTCAGCAAACTTCGCATTCTTCGGCTGATCTCCGAACAAGGGAATGGTAATCATCGGGACGCCAGCTGAGATCGCTTCCTATAAATTGGGGCTCAAAGTACTAGTAACAAAGTTTTGAGTTTTTAAGTAAGTTTTCAAACCTGAAGGCTGTTGTATCCACCATGTGACATAAATGCCTTGGTTTTTGGATTTTGAAGCAAATCTGCTTGTGGAAGCCATTTGAATTGATGAACATTCGCTGGTAATCTCTCTGGGATCAAAAAACATTCAGCAGGATTCGAACAAAGATTTTCTCCGTGAGATTTACAGATTTACAAGTGCCAATGATGATATGATTACCTTGCAGATCCGTTGCGTCGTATCTCCAAATGAAGTGGTGTTTCGGAAATCGGCTGAAAGCGTCAAGAAAAGCATGCTTCCACTCGTCCGGCATGTGATGAGCAGCAGCTACAGATCCAAATGAAAACACTATCACTCCGTCCGCATTATCCACTATTCGCCGGAACTCCTATAAAAAACTGCATTAATTATTATGTTGGGTAATGTCGAAGTAGATGCTTTGGTCAATTCTATAAAAAGCACACTTCACAGAATTTTTCCGTCTTTCGAATTTATCTATTGTTTGTAGATTTAACTCATGTGGGTCAACCACTCGATAATTTTGTCTATAAGTGCGGCGCCTAAGCAGATTTCATCATTTTTTGTTTTGACGCTAAGAAACCAGGAACATATGCTCGAGGAAATATGTAGCAGGTAATTAAGACGGAATCATTAGGTTGATTCAAATTAAAGCACGTTTCTGCTATCTCTTCTCTTAAAAGCTGTTTTTTGAGGGATTTTTTTTTCTTGAAAACTTTCAAAGCCATCTGAAAGAGCGTCCCCTCTAACGTTGTTTTGTCTTCGTGGGGCTTGTTCCACACCAAGTTCCGTCTGAATCCACATTGGGCTATAAGCGTACGAAAATCTAAGAAAAATAGCTTGTAGATGTTTAAAAATAGATGCCCATGAAATTTTTTACATTGAAAACAAATCAAAACTTGAGGTTGATATTGCTTTCAAGAGCGTATATTAGAAAATTTTTATTTTGCGAAAATTTGGCTTGCCCTACTTTGCGCACAGATAATAAATGATTTGCTTACTCTTGGAAGTTTTTTGGCATCCTTTCTTTCCACTCCCAATCCACCGATGTTCACAATCTTGGCAAGAGTAGGCCGAGGAAGGTCATACAGCTCGTTCGAATTTACCATTACCTGCAAACCCAAACCCAACGTTATCCATTTTCCTCTCTAAGCACTTACCAATGGACATTTTTTGGCTATGTCCACTATATCCGGAAATTCAGGGTCAATCAGTTCGCGAAATATAGCGGTTTCTCTGTCAGCAAACAGCCTAAATCACCATCTTTATTTGTAAGTTCAATCAGTTCAATCATGGCGTAACGTACTTTCTCCAAACGATTGGAGTCAGCATGTGTCCAAGCAAGCTTTTTGCCCTTTCTTTGTAATTCATATGATCGGAACTTTCTTGGGTAATAGCTAAAATCAAAAAAAAACCTAGCGTGAAATTCAATCTAAATCAAGATTCAGACTCACGTGGAACGTAGCTCGGAATTAACGGTACTCCCATGTGGTATGCAACAAAATCCATAAGAGCAGCGCTAAAATATGAAGTTAACTTTCACCCACTGCTATTGTTCAAAACCTGTTGAGCCAAATCCACGAAGGGATCTTTGCATGGTATATTAGACCTATCGGACAGACGTCGTACATATGAGTGAAGGCAAGATCGAATTTCTCATCAATCAACCAATTTATGAACTCCTCGTTCTCGACAGTCTCTGCATCATCATTTTTGGTAAAATGAATTGTTATGATCAAAACTCACTTCGGCAAGCCATCGTCAGAAAACTAGTTGCCATTTTGATATTTTCTCGGAAAGCAGGATCCCATACACCTATGTCCTAGATAGAGATGTAAAATCTATTTTTGTTACAAGCAAACAGTCCATCAGCCGCACCCTGTATATGATTTTGCTATGTCGTTCATCAATGAAGGACTTGCTCATGCCGAACGACGCATTCACCGCATGAACTAGAAGCAATCTTGGTTTGTGCATTTTGATGTCAGTCAACCTAATGATTATTTAATTACAGCATGAAAAGCGTGACTCCAGGGGCTGGCACTTCACGCCTATCATTGCTCAGCCAAAAATCTTTCCCAACATCTCTAACAAGGAGCGGAAACTTGGTCGAGGAGGCGTTCTCTTAGGAAATGTAGACTATCTTTTAAAGTCTGGAACGTTGATTCCAAATCTCTTTCCTTATCTGCAGTGCGTTTCTGGTAGTGGAGTAATGGGAATTTTTTGAAGAATTTCGTTGCGCCGTACAATAAAATCATCCGGAAATGCCGTCTATGAGCTCAGTTGGGGCCATAATCGCTGTCAGAGAGCGCTTCAAGCAATTAATAATTTCAGTCTAATATAGTAAAACTAATCATTACTCCATTCAAGTACCGGAAGGGCTTCAACACTTATTGTTACATTAGCCAAAACCCCTAATTTGTGCCTTAAAAAATTCTCGTCTCCTACAAGAAGGCACTTCGACCAAGTGTCCTTCCCTTGTAAGTAATACGTTGCCACGTCTTTTTTATTCATTCAAACAGTGCTCCACTTTGTTTTTTGCAAGAGCTGGAAGCAGCGCTTTGCAATAAATAACTCTCCAATCGAAGGGCATGGAACATCTCCGTGAAATTGGTATAATAATTTTATTGTCGTTATTACGTTACTACTTGCTCATGTGCAGGGACTTTTTTGCAGAGAAATGAATCCACTTGTAGAAAGGCTTACTTGTCCGCAGCAAGGTATTCTACCCTACCACAGTTTCCACTACGAGGGGGTGCATCGTAAGTTGATTATTCCCAGGTCCATATTACAAGTCCGCAGAAACTTTTTCTTTTGTCGTGTTGTTTTTAATATGGACATGCTCATCAGGAAAGGAATGTTTCCTGCAAAGTTATCTCAGTTTAAGACCATTTTGAAGAGTTTCTAACATGGGTCCTTCTGCTATTACATGACCAAATGTTTGTTTTGTTTTGTTCTTTTGTTGTGTTCATTCTGTTTTGTTCCGAAATTTTGTTTTACTGTTACTTTAACATACGTTGATCCTATGTAATAAATGAAATGAAATAAAAGCTAAAATCTATCGGTAAAAGTTTTTCTCCGCATTTTCACTACATTGCTGCCAAGGTTTTTTTTGCTGATGCCTGGCATGGTAAGCAAATTTGCTGTTCACACGAGAGCATTCTGATTATGTTAGTAGTTTGGGTCCTTTGTTGATGTGTGTTTGTCTGCAATTGTCATCACATGTGTGTTGTGTTGTGCTTTGTATCAGCACAAGCACGTTCCTCGGCAACAAGACAGATAAGAGCAGGGTACCAAACTAATGATGGCCTTTTTGAAATTGAGTGCGGGAAAGTCTAACTACCTGTTCTTCTTATCTTACTAATCACAAAGCTTCAGTAACAAATTCAACTAGTAGCTTATGATTTTTGCGGCCGAAAATTTGATTGTAAAATCCGTCCACATCCCACCCACTCTGAGCGAACCAAAGAGTGTGTGGAAAAACTATAGAAAATACAGGGTGTGTCTCGAAAAATGTGCCTACTTTCTGATTGTTAATAACTCTCCTGTGATGAAGCCTTTTGAGAAGCTTTAGGTGCCATTCTGTAGAGCTAGTTTTAACTTAGATTTGCAGTATAGAACGAACCACCCTTCTTTCTTCACTACTGTAGGATTACGGTAGAAACTTCAAAGAGGGTTTTGAGCCATGAAAAGCCATATTTTGTTTGGAAAGAAAACAAAACAGCCTGAAAACCTTCACGCTGGTCTAATTAGAGTTGCTGATTCTGAATGTGAAGTTCGCAACTTATCATGGTGCTTCATCAAAAAGTTATGCGAGGTATGCAGAGGTGTCTTTTTTCAATTTTCCCAAAATGTGCGGTTACACAGTTTAGAAACGCAATCTTGTACAATTTGCGTATTGAACTCAGCTTCCACGAAAACCCTATCACACAAGTTTTCAAATTTTTTCGATAATTTTTAAAGTGGCAGCTTTTTTGACAATGACACTATATACTTGAGGTTTTTGCGTAATTCTGCAGTGATGAAGGGCGATCGGTGATTTGCTCTATATTGTAAATGGAAGTTGAAGCCAGCTCTACAAAACGATACAGCTTCTCGAAAGACTTCATTATTACAAGAAAGTTATCAACAATCGAACAGCAGGCATATTTTTTTGGAACACCGTGTAAAACGTGGATGAGTTTGAATTTTAATCGCTGCCAGGATTATATCAACTTCAAGAAAATTCTTGAAAAATCGTCGTTTCTTCTCTAATTCGACGTTTTTGCTTAGCATTGATCTTTACAAAGAGTGTACCATGCACCATTTAATAGTCCCATAATGGCTCTCTTCTTACAAGTAACACTACAATGCTGGAGAAAATTATGCCACGGTCGTATCTCGCGTTCCTGTTAATGGACCTGCCTACATTGTTATATAGTGCACATGTAGCCTACCATTATTCCTCAGAACGACTTCCAGAAAGAGTTCGAATGGAGAAAAGTAGAAAAATTCGAAAAATCCTGTACTGAAAGCTGGCTATAACTATAGAGCCACCTGGTATTTTGAGCACTATCGCATTCCTTGACTTTCAAGATTTTTCCTAAGTTATACCTCAGAATATGAAACATTTGCAACACCTATGGCTTGCCATCTATCCAAAGAGAAATGATTACTTCATTTTTCGCTTTCAGAAGCGTTGAAAGTCAATCTGCTTTAGCAATCAGCTGGTTGGAGGAGTTCTCAAGCTCTTGTTCATAATCGATAGTCATGGAATCCACTAATCCTCTTTGATAATTGAAGTGAAAAGGGCTTTCATAAACTCTGCTAGTAGCTGACATTGACGGACAGACTCCAACCTCACCCTAGGATTGGCATGTTTTTACATCACAAAACTCAATCTTCAGAATTATGTGCGGACTTTGATTGTTACATCGCCTACATACATGATGACGCTTTTGCAACATCCTTCAGATTTTTGCTAGTGACGCTACCGCAATTCAAATCTGAACCACTTTTCACAAAAATTCTCAGCGAGCACTAGATTCGACATAATCATAAATCTCACTATTCCCTCTCTGTTTCATGTCAAAGCTTACGCTATGGCTGAGACCAGCTAAAATTCTGAAGTTCTGAGCGACTTGGTGTTCGATCCGTGATCTGAGTTGGTAGTGATTGTGCAGGGTGCTCCAATTGACTTTCAAAGCACGGCTACTGCGACTGAACAGGAATTCTCAACTCCGAAATTTTTTCGTAACTAAGCATAAAAGTTTATGGGTTTACAGGCAGCGTCATGGCTATATTATAGTATTTTCTGTTGCTTGAAGATTGAGTTTTGTGGTGTAGAAACCGCTAATCATGGGGGAAGGTTGGATTATGCCCGTCAATATCAGCCATTATGCAGAGTTTATAAAAGTCTTCTTCACGCAATTATCGAAAAAAATTGATTCCACGACCATCAGTTGAAGTAAACAAGAGCTTGAGAACTCCTCAAAGCAGCTGTTTGTTAAATCACATTGACATTCAACGCTTCTGAAAGTAAAAAAAAATGCAGTGATCATTTCCTTTGGATAGGACGACAGGTAGTGGGTGGTAGTGATGTTTCATACTTTGAGATGTAACTAGTCAAAAAAGTTCAAGAACCAAGAAATGCGATGGCGCTCAAAAACGGGAGACGGTCAAGAGGCGCGATTTTTCTGGCTGTCACCAACTAAAAACTCCAGTTTCCTGCTATGGGAGTGTTCAAAAAGTGCCGGACAAAGTCCATTGGCTTACTAGCTACTTGAATTAACCGTCTGATAAGTTCGACGACTTTTGCTAGAATGTTGACCGAAATATTTACAAAATTGCTATTAACTGTATTTTCATGGATTTTTGACCTTTAGCGATTTTGTTTGGAATCTATTTCAAGGTGATAAGATCGTACAATCCATGCAATTATCTAACATACTTCATCCGAAATTTCAAGTAATTCTAGAACTTCATAGAACAGGAAATATGTGCTAAATGCTGCCCAAAAACCAGGTTATGATTATGTCCAGCTTTTAGTACAGTCCTTCGAATTTTTCATTTTTTCCCGTTCGTATTCAATGGGAGTGGAGGTCGTTATGAGGAATAATAGTAGGCTAACATGCGCACTATACAGGAATTTTCAGACACGCTTATCAACAGGAACGCGAGATACGATTCTAGAGTGGCTTTATAATTATGTTCAGCACTTTATTGTTACTTGTTAGTAGAGAGTCGATGTGGAGCTATTGAATAGTACATGGACTCCTCGTGAAGATCAATGCAAGAAAAGTCCTCGCACTTGAGGAGGATTTTGCAACGTTCTGCATAGGTTTTACGACCTCTTCATTTTAACTAGACTTAAAGTTTACCGAGTTCTCATTTTAAAAGTTACGATGACTATTTCGCATTTTCCTCAAAAACATTTCAAGGAGGAAATCAGCGCAAGCTCCACTCAGTTATAGCGGAGATCATAAAGCTTATGCGCATTTTCTGAATTTCTGCAAGCCTTCCTAAAATCGAAGAAGCTGGAGTGATTCTCTTTCGTCATTATCTCGGCAGTCCACAACGACTCTGTCTCCACTCGGCGGGCTCAGCTCTTCACGCCCAATCTCAAACATAAGGGCTTTGGGAAAAAGCCTGTTTTTGACATCTTCACGCTCTGCAGCTACTTTTTTGGAGTCAGGCTGCATGGTAAACCCAAAGCGGAAAATCTTTTCAAGGGTTTGGAACGCTCCTTAGAATAAAGTAAGACTGGAATTAAGAATTGACAGTTTCCTACTTTTGACCTCTTTCGCAATTTTCACATTCATCTCGAAGTCGTCCATTGAGTTTATCATAATCATCGTTACATCATGGCCCGCTTTTGCCAGAGTCTCTGCTACCCGTGCACTAAATAAAACCTGAAAAGCAGCAGACAGCTCTAGCAAACATGCAAAGTAGCGAACCTGACTGTTAGATATACCAGGTACAAAAAGGCACATTTTGTAAGTGGCCGCATATGGTAGCAGCAATACACACAGCCATGCCCCATAAATAGGATTCATCTTGAATTGTACGACTGCTGCCAAGAAGAACAAATCGTTATGAAGAATACGGTAGGTAACACTTGGGTAGCTGAAGATAACGACTTGGGTTGAAGACAAACAACTAGATAAAAGTGTGTAGCACTTCCAAGCCATAACGTGTACACGTTTGTCTACTGTTTTTGAGTTTTTTTTTTTTCAAAAGAGCGGTAGTAATCGCATGAGGCACTTATTCGGTTCATTGTTTATTCCGGTTTTTTCTACCACTTCTTCAAATTAATCGTACTTCATGGTTTTGCCGTACTTTGTATAGAAAAAAGTTGCAAATCAATTATAGATCACCGAATAAATTTCTCGAGAAGCATCTGCAACGAAATCTCGGTTATTGCTTTTATGATCTATTCGAAACTGCACTTTCACAAAAAAGAATTTCACAAGGCTTTCAAGAAGTGATAGGAAGTCACAAGGAAAAATATTTAAGTGTGTGAAACGAAGAAACATTGCATGAATAGAGATTTTGTAAGCGTTCTTCAGTGAGCACTGATATGAGTATCAGCGATGGAATTTTTTTCTCTGACTCCCGCCGATTGTTCTCCCTATCCAAAGCGGCACCGATGAGCAAGCCTGAAAGTTTTGGGCACTCGCTTCTGGAACATCCATGTATTCAGAAGGAAATCTGAATATATTTAATAAATCGAGGTGCACCATTACTTTTGGCACCCTAATATAAAATCATTGGACAGTGGAGGTGCATGAGTATCGCAGTTGTTTGTTAGATTGTCAGTCATACAAATCTTTCCAGTCTGTGTAAATGCACACACCATCCACACTACGCAGGCTATAACAGATGTCGTTGGCCAAAAGAACAAACTGCTCCAAGATAAGTGCTTTTTCGGTGACATTTCAAAATTTTCCTTCATTTTATATATTGATGGAAGCAAGTTGACCTCCTCTCATCGTACACTTCCTGTAACTCTAAAGTATAGTCATGGCAACAAATTAATATTATTCGTATAATTATTGAGCCCACTATGCAATGTTGCAAGCGATCCAAATACCCTAATTTTACGAGTATAGGACGCACTTTTTCCAATTTTTTAAGCAAGCCGCTCAGCCGCTTCACTGTGTTTCGAAAAACGATCCTTATTCCTACGATACTCTCCGCAATATGCAGCACGATATATAGTTTTTTTGGTCGCAAATTACTCCGGCGTGCCTGTGCTGTTCGATTTCAAAAAGAAATCCCCCGCCTCCTATACTCGTGAAATTAGGGTAAAATGACTTTTTACCGTTTCGCAGCAAATTGGCAGGTGCATCAAGGCTCACTACTTGCAGTAAAAGTTTTTTCTTTTCTGTCCTTATTTTTATGTTGCAAGGGCTGCCTTTTGAGATTTTTTAAGAAGTTCTTCACCTTGGCCTTTTTCAAATTCGCATACCCTTACATTGCTGTCGAAGAATAACCATAAAGACAGCCTCATCTTCATTAAGAGCGGCATAAAGCTAGAGAATGCACAATAAAAATGCCTTTTGTATTAGTAGTTTCATGACCGAGAGGTAGAGGTATACACTAAGAAAAACATACAAAACAATTTACAAAGGAAACACGAATCCATGATGTACTACTCTCACTGCTCTTTATATTTCCTCTGTGGAAATGCTGGAAATGCCTTTTTGACCATTAATTTTACAATTTTGTATGCAATGAATGTGAGCGCTACAACAACAGTAAGAAGAAATGCGATGACATCAAGAGAGTGGTACTGTACGAAGTTCAATTTGTTGCCTGCGGGTACGAGATTGTCCAGCGTTTTGAACTCGGCCACAAATTCAACCCATGAAACAAGCAAGTCGGAAGGATTGACCGGCTGTTTTTTCACCATATTTGACATCCGTGTCATATTACTTGAATAGCTGAAAGTTCGAATGCATCAAACATGATAGGTAGCTGATTTGAACAAACCTTTGGTCATACAGCACTTTTTCGAGTGCCTCTGCCACTGTATTCGCGCTTATATCACTTTTGTGAATTTTCACAGCAAAGTGATGCTTTTCACCCAGTCTCGCATTTCTTGGTTGATCACCGAATAGCGGTATGATGATCAACGGTACTCCTGCCAAAATTGCTTCCTGATTTCAAATTGTTTCAGAATCAGCACAGAGATACATCTCAGCGATTACCTGGAAACTGTTATAACCTCCGTGCGTGATGAATGCCTTTGTCTTGGGACTTTGTAATAAATCTGATTGTGGAAACCATTCGAAAGTATGCACGTTTGGCGGGAGTTTATCTGTAAAGCTGAAGTATTAGGTTAACATATGGGTTTTGTAAATTCTCCCAAATCCATTCATAAGTAATGCTTTAATTTTTGGCATAAATAAAATACACACAAAAATTTCTATGAGCAGAAAAAACAAACACGGAATTACTTCTCTATAAATCTTGAATGTTCACACTATAAATCCTATGATTTGATATAAAGCAATGATAGCAGGGTGTGCCAACTATTTGGGTGTTTTGATGAAATTAGAAATGTTTCATTTCTAATGAAACAGAAGCAGCTCTTAAGGGCCGGACATACTTCACGCGATTTCAGTCGCGACGCGATTTGGCAATTCGCCAGAAGTCTTCAGATCCAACGCTAGCAAATTGCACATGCATAGTGTGTATAACTTATAACTTACGTAGACTGGCAAAATGCCCTATCTTCTGTACATATAAAATGTCCTACAGTGAGTTATGGACAGTTGGGATATTGCCAAATCGCGTCGCGACTGAAATCGCGTGAAGTATGCCTGGCCCTTTATTTAACTTTCGAATGGTTTCGCTCTTTGAAGTTATACCTGTAAACTTTCAAGACAATCGCATGTTTAGACGATTAAATCAGAAAGACGGATTCTTGATACAATTGGTTATCGCGAGCTCAACTGCGCTTTTGTTGGTGAAGTTACTTGTCTGAATGACATAAGCTATGTTTCCCAACTAGGAATAAACCATCTTTTGGGAGTATCCAGGCATATCAGCGATTTCCAGATTCGGTCTCTTCAAGCACGCAAGCAGCTTTTAGGGGCTATGAAAGTTGCGCATTGACTTAGAGACAGCTCCGAATTAGCTTTGAGTTGAAACACTAAGTTTCGACTTCACTGCCGACCCAGCATTTTTACATCCTGCTGGACGATAGAATCAAGGATAAATAGTGTCTCTTATCCCTTGATTATTCTGGACATCATAAGAATTTCAAAAATCCTTGGGATTGCTAGTGAATAAATAGTTTGAAAGAATGTGATTTTGAAAGATCGATAAGTGCTATGACTGTGCACAGAAAGGAAAAAGCAAAGGTTCTGTGCTACCTTTGAGATCGTTCCCGACGTATCTCCATATAAAGTGATGGTTTGGAAATCTTTTGAATGCGTCGATGAAAGCGTTTTTCCAAGTCATCGGCATTTTGTCAGTGGGAGCTACTGACCCGAATGAGAATAGAACAACTCCCTCTGCTTGCTCGACTATTTTTTGGAACTTCTATAATGCAAGTAATTTTTGGAAAAAATCCACTGTACAAATATTTACCGGATCTAATGGTTTCACGTCTTTCTGTTGGAATCCTACTCCGCCGATGTTTACGATCTTGGCAAGCGTTGGTCTCGGGAAGTCGTACAGTTCATTTGTATTTACCATCACCTATGCATACTTACTCATGCGACGCAGAGCTATGCAAGTTTTAGTGTTCACTAGTGGACAGCGCTTCCCTAGTTCGAGCAGATCCGGAAAGTTTGGTTCGAGCACTTCTCGGTAAATGGCAGTCTCTTTATCGGCTATCATTCTGAAGAACAGGGCTGAGTAAGATGTACTGAAAGATGCTTGTTGAAAAGATTCGAACCTTTTCCATATTGGGACAAACAGCATGTGCACTATGAAACTTCTAATCCTTTCCTTGAAGTTCATCACATCGCTGCTGTCAATCATAACAGCTGAAACATTGGTGAGAATATAGACTACTAACGTTACTCCTATATGACAATGAAGCACCCACGTGGAACATAGCTGGGAATAAGTGGTACACCCATGTGACGGGCCACGGGGTCCAATAAAGGCGCGCTGAAATTTTCCAGTCGCTTTTGTAAATATTTCTCAAGTTGTCTCACCTGTTGAGCCAGATCCAGGCAGGAATTTTTGCATGATGGATAATTCCGACAGGGCATACGTTCAGAATATAAGTGATGGCCAAATCAAATTTCTCGCCAGAGATCCACTCGAGAAAGTCTTTGTTTTCTACCATCTCTCAAATCATAGGAATAAGTCCAATAAAAAATCTTCAGTGAGGAGCGTAAAATATTTTGAAAATGGCATTTGTTGTAAAGATAAGGTGAGTTGTTTCTATCATCTCTCAAAGCATACAATTGAATTAGATGAATAAAACTTTAGTGAACGCCTTAAATCGAAAAAAAGACTTGAAAAAATTAATTTATTAAGTGGGCAACAAAATATTACCCCGGTAATTAATTGTTTATGAATTTGTTGTAGTGATAAGGTAAATGAAAATAAGATGTACGTACTTCGACAAGATCCAAGAAATAAACTTGAGGCGCGAAGAAAAACCGCACGCTGCCTATAATCCCATACCGGGAGGTCCTGAAATTATTGATACCATAAAGCCAGTGGCGGATCGAGGGGGGGGGATGAGCTTTATTGAGAGCAACTATTGTGATAATTTGTTCGTCAAGAAGCTCCTTTGCCCACTTCAAAGATATTTTTTTCCAGCATTTCTTCTATTGCCTCGGCTTTTATTCCGATCGAAGCATTGACGTTGTAGGCTGAATGAATTTTATTAGGGAGGGATGGCTTTGTTATACATTTGATCGTGAAAACTTTGCAAAAATCAGAGTTAAAGATGACCTTGTTCTAGAAGGAAATCAAGATGGATGTATCTCCTTTATATCAGATAATTACGGACGTTCTCACATTTTAAGTCTTCCCAAAAATGAACCCTTTTTTATAAGTATATCAAGCTGATTTTACTTTACTAGCCGACTTAGAGTGCCATTCGATAGAGCCAAACCTACAAAATACAAAAATCCACCTAAGTCGTAATCTAGCTGAACGGGGCCAAAAATTAGAATTTTTCAACTACCTAAAAATCGATTAATCTTAGAAAATTCCTACAGACGCCCAACTTGTTCGTCGTACAGTTTACACATAGCAGCTTTGATAAAAGGAGTTGCTGGATATTTTTCGTGTATAGAAAATGAAGAAAAAAGTTCAAACAAGGCAAATTCGCCTATAGAAACCTAATACATATGTGATTATATACTGCAAGCCTTAGAAGTGCAACCTTGAAATTATACCTCTGCATGGGCCCTGGTAACAGAAAAAGTTTGAAATAAACCCGAAAAGGATGACATTTTTGCATATTGGGGTTATTTTTACTTCTTGATTTTTGGTCCGGAAAAAATCCTGCAATTGCATTTCGAATAATACCATGTATCTATTGCATGATGACCAAAATGGAGGTCCGCGGGAATTTTTTGTAATTAGATACGAATTTTTAGGGTAGCTAGATCTAAGATTTTGGCTTTCTACCTGGATTACGACATAGGTGGATCTTTGTGGTCATTTTGTAGAGCTTGCTTCTCTAGCGAATCGGCCCTAGTTCTGTTAGGAAGATAAAAGCAGCCTGATTTATTCACAAAAGAGGACACTGCTTTCGACTTTTGGGACAACCCAATAGTTTGTGGATTTAAGATTAGTTCTGGTAAAGGGGTTCTGGCATTAGTATCAGTAAATTACCTACTCTTTATGTGTTTTGGAATTTTCACAGCTTTTGTGTCAAAGCCATCCAGAGCAGCCACCATAACCATTGTGACTTCATGTCCGTTCTTCGATAAAGTCTCAGCTACACGGCTATTGAATAAAACCTGCAAATTGATTGAAAATCCATGAGGCTTGGATGGAAAAGTCCTTTTATAGAAATTCTAATGCTGATTGATGTAAGCTCACTTTGCATGTGAAAAAATGAAATGTTACCTGACTATTGACAAAATATGGTACAAATATCACAATTTTGTAACCATCAGTGTAGCTTAGGAGGACTACGGAAAATAGAAGACATTTTAGGAATCGCATTATTTTGGCCGCACTGTGGGGGAGACTTGTTATCGATATTGATATAAAACTAACATGTGGACGACTAATGTAATGTGATAAGAGAACATGTCATTGCTTCGGTATTGAAATTGCAAGTACAGAAACATTCCTAAAAGTCAAACAAGGCTAAGTTCTTGTTCTTCAAGTTTTCTTCAAGCAGCAATCTCCAAAACACTTGTATCGCTGACCGTCAAACAGAACTTTCTCTATGTAAGCTCCTGCAAGAGAAAAACATGCTTTTTATTACTGCAACTTTGCTCTGCTGACATCGGATTTATATCTGTACAGATGACATAGCAATCAAATTCACGATAGGCAGATTGATATTGTATTAAAGTTTTCAGTGGCTAACCGAACATCCCAGTATTTATGGTCTATACAAAGTATACAAAGTGAGCCTCCAGCATTTTTCGAGTTGTTTTGGTTCTTTCTTTTGAGTTTTTCTTTGTCTTCAAATATACATTGTCGTGGTAAATGCAATGCAGAATCCAGCTAGCAGTATGGTTTGTTCAAAGTTTTGACCCAATCTTAACTGACTAATGTAATTAGTTTTCCTTGCGTGTCCAACCGCGAGCCTGGCCCACTCTAATAATTATACACCTTCCTCAACTTCAGGACTTTTGTGGCAAAACTGTTGTATTGCCCTTTCAGATACAAAACGCTGAGTGGTAAAATGCACATGTTTGTTCTCAACAACAGCATAGAAGAAAGTAATTTGTCTTGGTTTTGAACTAGCACGTTACATGTCGAAACAATTCCGTCACCCCTACGTTAAACTGTAATCAGCATCGTCTCTCCTCCCATACGCGGTCGTTCTCGATTCTAGACGGAACAGAATACTTGTTCACAAAGTTCTCCAGACCTGTACAACCAATTATTCCTTTTTAAAAGTTTACTTCTACGTTGTACTTGAGTGGTTGCAAACAAACATTTTTGTCTTAATACTTCCAAAAGATTTCTCAAAGAAATGCTGCAAGTAATACGAAAACTGCTTGAGCGTTGACTAAATGATGCTCAGAATACAGGGCTCGGTGACGAAGTCCTCCTTAACTTTCCCCAAATTTTACGAAGTCCTCTTCACCCTAAACCATAAAAGGTTAAAAAAACCCTCAAAAAAGGGAACCTCGACTAAAAAACGTGACCTGAGTTATTTTTTTCGGACAAGTACAATATCTACGATATCCCCCTTGCTTTTCGTCACAGAAACGATATCTAGCTTGCTTATAAGTCACCTGTGCCGATCCCTGCCAGAATAGCCGTCTATCTATACGCATGCAATGATCTTAGACATGGTCACAATGCCACTGATGGATGCTTGCATTCTTATATCCTCCATGCACAAGGTCCGCCATAAGCACAGCAATCTTACCCTTCTTATCTTCGTGATTTTCCTCTTGACATATCAATTTTTTTACTGCCAGCAGCTGCACTTCGGGGTGTTCAGTGGAGCAAGTTTTCCTTCTCGCAGTGGGATTTTATAACATTTTTGATCCTAGGAAATGTGAGAGAATGGTTAGAAACCAAATAGTCACTATGTAATTTATGTTGGATTTGGAGTATGAATTAAGAATAATTCAGAATTTCCATGGGAAGTTTTGCCATTTTCAAGATGATAGGTGTAAATTTGCTATTCTCCATTCACATAGTTCTTCTTCAACTTTGTACCCTGTTTTTACTCCTCCTGCGCATATAAACAACGACATTATGTCGTATGCTAGAACTGTGTTGTGCAAATAGGTCGCTTTTCCACTCATCAATAATGAAAAATATTTGGAAAAAAAATCTCATCACACTCTTCAATCACTATCATATTTTTTCGTGATTTGCTTTCTAGCCCGTTTCTTGTTGTTGTTATTGTTTGCATTACGGCTTGATAGCGGGATGGAAGATAATATGAAACTTGTGCTATATCGCGGAGCAAAAAGCTTCTCAGTCTATTGAGTAGAACCTTGAAAACGAGAATACATCGGTGGACCTTTCTGGCACCAATCTTGCAAAAAAGATGTACTTTTTTGATTAGTTTTTGTTCTGATTTCGATGTCACACATATACAGGGTGTCCCAAAGTAAGAACACACTTTTCGATCGTCAATATCTCTCTTCTCAATGGGTCTTTTTTTGCCAGTCAAGTACCATTCTGTTGAGGAGGCTTCAGCTTAGATTCACAGTATCGACTTAATCACCGAACCTCTCCGTTACTATAGGATTACGGTAAGAACTTCCAGCATGTGGAATCATTGTTAAACATGCCATCCGACAAGATTTTTTCAAAAATAAAATCGTATTAGGATTTTCGCGCATGCTGATTCCACTACACAACTACGGGTGTTTTAAGCTTTTTTAATGGTGTAACCACATTTCTGATTAATAGTGAGAATTCGGTTATTACGGTTTACCTGGAATAACTCTGGAAAGAAGCATCACATTAAAGTGGAAATTTCATAATCAAAATCAGCGGCTTCCGTTACCATAGTATAAGAGTTTTGGTTTGTTTGGTTTTATTCCGAGGCAGAGTATGGCTTGCAATGGCCTAAGATCTTTGTCAAAATTCTTTCAGTAATTCTACAGTAGAAGAGAGACCGGTGATTCGCTTGGTACTGTAAATCTAAGTTTAAGCGTCCTTTACAAAATGGTACTTAAATGGCGGAAAAAGACACAACGAGAAGAGAGATATCAACGATCGAAAAGGGTGTACTTACTTTTGGGACACCCTGTATATGTCAAACAAACCGAAGGCTTTGCAGAAAAAAAACTGGAACAGATATCAGTTTTGCGAGCCGAGTTACGAGCCTACGAAAACACGTCCTCGTGAATTTTGCCCAAAATGTAAAGATCGCATATTTCATCGAAATTTCTCCGTGAGTGCTTGTATGACGCTCGCTGTGAATATTATGTTCGCTTCGTCCAACCACTCCCACTGTATTGAATATGGTGCTTGCGTCTGCTTCAGCTGCTCAACTGAATATCAAAACTTTTTCGTGGCTAGAGCTCAAAGCACCAAATCTAACACAATAAGATTCGTTAAAAGATTCCAGATACTTTACAATCTCAGAGCACGAATGTTTTCAAAGGCAGTATCAACGCACTTGATCCCTTACGTTTGAGGCATTCTGAGAATGAGTAATGAATAGCACCAATTCGTCATCTGTATTGCTATAGCTGGCCATGTGCGATTACATTATCCGACCACAAAATGCATACCAAATACAACCATCAATTTGTGTTTTTTAAAATTATTTTCTTTCAAATGTCTTACTAACCCATATCTTGCTATTACATTAGTTCAGGTCTAATCAATTTACTTCTCTTCCCAATCATTACAGCTTGTTGACTTGCTCTTGAATGAATTACAAAAAGTGAAACTATTTGATATTCTTTCGAAGTCATTGGATTCTCCCCGGAATCATTTGGGCAAGGTTGACTGGTATTACTGAACCAACCGAGCCCGCTTTGCTTCATTATTGCAAGAGCATCTTCTTTTGACAAATGAGTTGGTATGATTGCCATCTCCATAGATTACAATAACCTAACTTGATCACGCTCACGTATGAGTTATCCATCATTACAACCCTTATTGAAATTCACTTGGAGTCACTGGCTCACACTGGTTTACTGGTTTGGTGGGGTCAGATAATATACCCACCATCAAACCTTGTTTGCTTGTTAAAATCAAAATATTTTGCTGGCAAAAGGGGGCATGGGTACATCTCCATGAATTGTATCATTTAATTCCGATAACTATAATCATAGAGCACTCAAATACAAGCTTTCATCTTTTATCAAAATTAGACCTGAACTAATGATGCACCATCGTTGCGGTTAGACTGTAAATGACTGCTTTCTATTCTATTGTATGGAACGCCAAGAGCGTATAGAATAAATAAATAAATAAATAAAACTAAAGGATTTGATCAGCGCGTTGTACAAGCGCTCACGGAGGAATTTCGACGAGATATGCGACCTTTACATTTTGGACAAAATTCATGAGAACGTGTTTTCGTAGGCTCGTAACTCGGCGAATTTCACAGACTGGAGCCTGAGTAATGCACCATTCGATAGCACAATTCCTAGTAACTTTGACTGAAAAAAGCAAGCAGGCAAGGTTTCTGACAGATACGCGAGAAGTGCGGCCAAAATTACGCACTTTCGTAATGCAGTTGCAGTCATCTCACCGTATCTCTCCAAAAAGACCCTGTGATCCCCAAAGACCACGATTTTCGTAAAGAGCGTGTTCGAAAACCTCTATAAGCGAAGTTTCTCTACAATTCAAGAGCATCAACATTTTGACCAAAATCCATCGGCGAGCTTCCGGAGCGTAAAACAAGAAAAAATGGAATAACCCGAACATATCGGAAAACTTGCTCGTAGAGGTTATGCGACCTGCTGATTTCGAAACTCACATCTGCTTAGCAAGATGGCTTCGTATCCTGCGGATATGGCGAGTAGAATTTGGGACGACAAGATTTTTCCACAATTCACTCGCCGTTCTACTTCCTTTAAAAAAAAACCTGCGGCTACTGTCTAGCATATTATAATCTACAGAAAAAGTGCTATCGAAATATCCTTGCCGGAATGTACTTGGGACAATGCTTGCTGCTTTACACCTTCGCGAAAAGACGTCTTCAGAAAGATTCAAGAATACTGAAATCGAAATATCAAGGACATGCTGTACACGAGAAGATTCGCATTGATGAGCTGAGCAAGGAGCTGTCTTCGGATTGAAAATATACTTGTTCCGAAGGAAGTTATGGCGAGCAGAATTTAAAAACGCGTGATTTTTCCAAAATTCACCAACGCTTCTATCTCCTTTGAAAAGAAGTCTGAGCCTACTTTTTAGCGCACAATAATCTACAAGAACAGTATTATCGAATAGCACTCAGTAAAGTCCTCTAAGTTGGGTAGGCGTTGCTTCACATATTCGCGAAAGGACCTCCGCAGAACAAATTGAAAAAAACTGAAAACGGAATATCGAAAACATCGTACCCCCACTTCCAATACATCAGAAGATTCTCCGCGCC